TAAAATCGAGAACCAGCTCTCAACCAGTCGACCGATGATGTCAGGAGTACCGCAAGGATCAGTGCTGGGCCCTGCCCTCTTCAACATCTATATGGTAGACTTTCCAACCACCACCAATACAGAGTGCTACATCTACGCAGATGATGTAGCAATCACTGCCGCAGGGAAAGGCACTTGCATGAAAGCTAGACTCCAAAGACATCTCGGCCAGGTCCAACAATGGAGCAGGAAATGGAAAATGGAGTTTAATCCGGCGAACACACAGACCTTCACCAGTGGCTTCAAGACTCCGCCAGGCATACTAGAGCTTGCAGGACAGCGGCTACCCTGAAGGTCCAAGGTTACCTATCTTGCACTCATCTACGACAAGCGACTAGTATGAAACGACTAAATGACAGCCACAACATCCAAGGCAAGATACCTGCTCCAGGCCTACTATCCTCTGCTGACAGGTCAGCTCTTCCTGCGAACAAAGGTTAGAGCTTACAAACAACTAATCCGCCCGGTACTGACCTACGGATCTCTTGCATGGTCCACGGCCAGCGCCTGCCAGAAACACAAGCTGGCAGTAATCCAGAATCGGATACTGAGGATAGCAGCCAAGGCCCCGCACTTTGTCAGAAATTCCACCCTGCAAAGAGGCCTGAAAACAGATGACCTGCTGGACCATATCCGGAACTTAACATTAAAGTTCCTGGATAACACCCGGCAAAGCAAGAATCCCACAGTCCGGGTTTCTTGCAAAAAGAAATTCCCCTGTGACCGCAGACCTCTCCCTGCGGACACCGTCTAAGAAAAAGACGTGACCACATGCGATGACCAGTTCCTGCACCACATCGAGGACCATGGGCTAACTTTAAGTTAGTTTCTAGGAAGCAAGAGAGGCTGTTAGGTTTAGGTTTAGATTAGGTTTTGTTACGTTAAGGTAGATTAAGTCATACGACGTTATATCTTAGTTTACATAGAGTGTTAGATACTGTAACGATGTTAGATTTAAGGACTCGTTGGGGGGTCCCTTCTGCCACAAATGTGCCCAGGGGCACTTTTACTCTGAATGCAAAAAGCCGAGAGACATCCCGGCTAAGTGGATAAACTGCGATGGCCCCCATCCGGCAAGCTACTTCTCGTGCCCAAAAAATCCGAATTTCCTTGCCCAAAAGCAAGACATTTCTTGCAAAAATCGCCAGTTTCTAAAACAAAGCCTCTCCTACGCCGTCAAAGCTTCCGAAGCCCAGGTTCAAGTGCCCCTAAAGCCCACCGTCTCAAACCCCCCCGTTCAAGCTGCACAAAAAGCCCCCCGTAAACCCCAAAACTCGATTACACGAATCTTCTCAATAGAAACATTCCGATACTACTTGCTGGAGATTTGAACTCCAAAAACACTTCTTGGGGCTGCATAAAAACAAACCCCGAGGGGCGCAAGCTCCTCAACTACACAAGACGTACAATTCCAAATTCATGCTCCCTCAGAGCCAACACATTATGACCACAAAACCCCCGACATTATCGACATTGCTATTTCTAAAGACATATACCACATCCTTCATGTCTCAAACTGCGATTCTCTAAATTCCGACCAGAACCCTATAATCAACGAACTTGCTTTTATTATTCCAACCGGAATCTTAAATACGTAATTGGCCCTCTACAACGGCACTTAAACATTTTTCAAGAGTGGGCTGACACCTGGAAAATCAAAATTAACACACAAAAACCAAAGCCAAGAGAATCTCGAAAGAAAAACCTCCCAATAACACACTCAAACTAATGCTCAACAACACCGAAATCCCACCTTCAAAATCTCTCAAATACCTTGGCGTTACCATCGACACTAAACTTAACTTTATCGAGCACATTAACAAAATAATCACCAAAGAAAGCCAAACAGCCGGCATTCTTTACCCTCTTTTAACCCAGAAAAGTAAGCTCACTCTTAAAAACAAAACTCTGCTCTACAAACAAGTAATCAGGTCGCAAATATGCTATGCTGCCCCTATAATTAGCCAAACCTCCAAAAAAACCTTAGGTAAACTCCGGATTTTCCAAAACAAAATCCTCCGCAGACACAAGACCACCCTGGTACGTCCGTAACTTACAAATTCACGCGAACATTCAAATCGAAACCGTGCAACAATTCGTTTCAAAGCTCCACGAAAAGTTCAAAACTCGCGTCCTTAACCACCTAAACCCACTAATTAAAGACACGTTTTCCCAAACTATCCCGAACCCACGCTACTTAACCCCGACAAGTCTATTAGCAGACCCCCCTGGAATCACCCGCCCTAAGCAGGTGAATCCCGACCTCTCAAGTGCGGGACCAAGTGCTTGCCGCGCCGCACTTCTAGGACCCGTACTTCCGGCCCACGTGCTTTCGCGTTGTTGTGTTAAATTGTGTTCCCCATTTTATTTTAACACTTATTTTATTCATTCTCTCTGTTAATTGTACCGTTAATTTCGTACCACGCCGGGGACGAAATTAGGGCTCAGATAACGCCATCCGCCGACTCTGAGCGCACCCTTCCCGCAAGAAGCGAGACGCTTGAATGCAGATCACCGGCTCCGTCACCGCCGCATTCAGCGATCAGCGAGTGTCTCGGATTTGAGGCTACCCGACGACACGTCAATACATACTGCCGAAATACAATCAACTGGAGCGGATAAACAAGATGGAGACCTTGGGGGAGAAAAAAACACCGGCAGACCACAACAAAGATGATATGCTGCCATCAAAAGAACAACCGGACTTAACTGGTACCAAGTAGCACAGAACAGGGAAAACTGTATAAATATGAGAGAGGCATATATCCAAAGAATAGAGAACGGCTAGAAGAAGGTGGCTAGGTTGGAGAGAGTCGATATGCACTTCAGCAGTGTTGCAAGAATGCATTAATATGAATGGTCGACCCTTATCCAATGTACTTTTTAAAACGAATTAATAAATTTCCACGTTGGCATAATATTTGAACACAAAAAATAATCATTTACACTAAGTACTTTTTCATTATTGACCTTTCAAAAAAGACAGTTCTTATGCCGCACCCTGATTGTATAGTTGTGAAGGAAAGCAATTTCATAGAGAAAGCATATTTATAAATTGAGGCATTTTATAATGCTGCTTATCATATGTATATGCCGTTCTAAACAGTGCCAATATCATTCAAATTACTTTAAAATTCCCACTTTCTACTGCTCATCTGACTCACTCACAAATAACCAGCTCCAACACGCCCGCTCCATTATTTATACAAAAAAGTATTCAGTACAAACAATTTTTTTAACGATAGCGTTAAAACTACATCTAATTGCCAGTAAACCATGCCAATTAGTTTAACCAGTATTCCAATTTCAAATCTAGTGAGAAAAGCATAGTGCAGGGAGTTAGAGAACTATGTATTAGTAGAAACAACTTTTCCAAATGAGCATTTTTAGTTCATGTAGCTCAAACTTCCCAATTTTGAACTAAGATAAAATGTGCTTAAGATATGCGACTACGAAAAATGACTCAATAAAACTCACCTCTTCAACTACTACCTACCATTGATTGAAATTTTTTTTCTTTTCCTTCTGGATCCAACAACCAATCAGCAATTTTTGGATCTTCAACTTTGCAGTAAAAATCTACTCCACAGCATTGGGTCAAAATTTTCATTTGCTTTTTTGCATCAAATAGCCTAACTGAATTTTGTTGATTCGTAAAAATCGACTTTAAAACTTGTATAATTTTTTCGTAAAAATCCACGTTCCGTGTAGACAAAAAGTAACTTTTCGTCCCTTCCCAATAAAACGAAAAACTGTCTATTTTTGTGTTTTTAAAATATGCATAACTTGGTGGTGTTTGATATTTTTCATTCTTAATAATATTCGTCCCAATGGAAGGTTTAGTTTCCACTTTGCTCGAAGACTTTACCCAGAAAGAAAAACTTTTTCTATATGTTAACTGCTCAACAAACACCTGTAAAGAAACTGCCGACCTGCCAACATCAACAATATGAAGCTCACTTGGTGCTTTAATTGAATTAATATTATCTAAGCTCAATTGGGAGTACTTCGTGATTGTACTGGCAAACGGAGTGAGTATCTTCGAATTTTTACATTTCTTATTGGGTGTAGCTTCCAAAAACAGTTCTTCTGAACTTGAGCCTGAACTACTTCGGCCTCTTTTCCCCAAAACATTAATGTTAATGTCACTGGCACTGCTGCCTGAATAATTTGATAAAGTTATGTTATCAGATTGATCAACACTATAATTGCAGTTTTTCTGGATCGCATGGGAAATGTCAATATTTTTAATCGCTGTTTCAAAATCATCCTGACTATTAAATTCGTCTATAGTTTCAGTAAAAATCTCTTGATCATCGCTTAATTGCAATGTAAAACTACTGTCTGTAAACTGTTCCTCAGATTTCGATTTTTCTAAGCTTCCAGATGAACTGAACAAAGATGATTCGGATATATTAAGTCCTATTGGTGCTTGAGTTGAAACAATTTCTGTTTCCTTACTGGGTGTTATGCTCAAGGTTTTAAATGATGTTTCAATTCCATTGACAACTGCATCATCTTCAGTAGCTAATACAACATTCTCACTACAATCTCCAAAATATATTTCTTTGGCAGACCCAATAACGGAACCTTCCACCACATTACCATCTCCACTGCAAACTGAATTATGATTTTTGGCGTTTTCAGATAAAGAAGACTTTGAGGAGGCATCTATAATTAGTTGTCTGTTACTTGAAAGTTTTGTTTCTTTTGTGCCCTCATTGGCTCGAAGCTGAAATGTGGAGTCGTGTTTGTCCGGATTAGATTGGGAATTCCATTTGGCTTCTTTTAATCCCACTTCAATAACCAAATAATTTCGGGCATTGTTCACTAACAACTGTGCGGCTTCTCTTTCTGTTAGGCCTTCTTTGCCTGTTATCCAAACAGTTCTAAACTTATTTCTATCATTAGTGTCAGTCTTCGACTCGCCATCTCTCTCCTTAGCGCTCTCAAATGGACCAGCTCTGCATAGAATATTTTCTATATACGCTACATCACGGTTAGCTAACTCTATTACAGTCTCTACCCCTGCTTTATATAAAATTCTTGCCAGTTTTCCATTTAATGATGGAAGTCGCATTAAGTCGAGCAAATCTCGACTGACGCCAAACTGCATTCTATCCTGAAATTGTGCTAACAATATTTCAAGACTGGCCCATCCTAATTGCTTGCTAAATGCTGTCACCATACCCGCAAATGTTGACGCTGACTGTTGAAGAGACTGTAGCATGCCTCTATTGCAATTAAATTTTGCACAAACAGTTGCAAGTGGCACTTCATTGACTAGGTCTTGCAATGCTAGGGCAACAAAAAATCTCTTGTGAACCATGAGCTTTTGAAAGCCCTTTGAGCTGTTGCAGTCTATTTTACCTCTAGTAGCACTTACAATGAAAGGGTCTGAAACCCCTACAAGCTTCCCAACTCTCTTCATGGCACTTGACAGTTTATCCCAAAAATCTAAGTACATCATCCAGTCGATATTGCCCCATGTTTGGCAAGCAGAATATGGTGTAACAAGGTATATCAAATGAAGCTCTGTTTCAAGAACAAAGCATTGTCGAGCTTTCTCTAGCTCTGTGAATAAGGTGAGACCTTCATCAGGTGCAATAGAAGAAGATAAGCAGGCTTTGCCTAACGAGGTAGCTACATATTGCTCATCTGCGCCATTTGCCTTTTGCAACCTGATAAATTCATGCTTTTTCAGAAAATCAATAGTGGCATCTATTGGATTTACCGCTAATTGGTCTTGTTGATCATCAGCATTTGTAATACTCATCAATGTGCAGTTAGTAAACAGAGCAATATCATCGGGGGATAATGCGACGCCGCTAGCAATCACTTCCAGGATGGCCCTCTTTAGCTTACCCGCGCCTTCAAGGCAGCTTTCCACAGGTGATAGTTCGAACGACATCAGTTCTTTGGCAATCTTATATTCGGCCTTTTGGCAAATTAAAATACTTTCTCCTTTGCTGTCCTTACCCATCCGTCCAGCTCTGCCAATCATTTGCCGATATGTGAGCAGATTTAAGGGTCTTCCACCAAAAACGGGACTTCTAATTATTACTCGACGAGCCGGTAAATTAACTCCCGAGGACAAAGTCGATGTGGCTACCAGAACTTTAATTGCTCCGTTGCGGAAGGCACCTTCTATTATATCCCTTTCATCCATGGTTAAACCTGCATGGTGGAAGGCAATACCAAAGGATACAGTTTTTTTGAGAATCGAGTCGAGTCCTACGGGGCAAAACTTGAGTTGCTCTAGTACTTCGATTATTAAATCACCCCTTATTTGAGCCCTCAAAAGTTGACCTAATGGTGACTGGGAGTTGCCAAGTTTAGAAAAAGCTTGTGATAGCTGCTGAGCCAAATTTTCACACCAATTCTTCGTCGGGCAAAATATCAAAACGGAACAAGAGTCTTGAATAGTTTCTAGGCACAGCTGAAGAACGTGATCTGTATCAACTCCTAGCTCAGGCAAAGTATCTAATTTTCTTATGATTTTCATGTCGTTATCAAATATGTCTCCACATATACTGGCCTGCTCATATAACGGAATAGGCCTGAAAGATGTCGAGTACAACTCAGAATCTAACCATCTTGCTAGTTGCCCCAAGTTTGGGAGTGTAGCTGACATTCCAATGATTTGTATTTGAATGTTTAGATCTTTTAAGCATATATAGCGAAGTTTGGTCAAAAGTAATTCAAGCAGATATCCTCGGTTCGGGTCTCCTAACAAATGCATTTCATCCACAAATACTGAGCCAATCTCTGCCAATCTTTCCTCTTCTAAAAGTCTATTGATGAGACTATTTGCTTTCTCAATGGTGCAAATTGCAAGCTGTACGGAATTAAAACCTCCAGGCGGATTATAGGAGCCCATAAATCCTTCTGCTCTTACACCACTACTGCTGAGAATATCTTGAAAATAGTACATTTTTTCTCTTACTATTGACACAAACGGCAAAATAAAAATAACCTTTTTCTTCCTATCGAAGATGGTTTTCAGAGCTAAAATTTCAGCTATCAACGTTTTTCCGGCTGATGTTGGAGCGGAATAGATCAAGTTTGATGAACCGTGCAGCACTTTAGGATTGTTGAGACACTCGAACTGCCATTGGAACATTTTCGTTACTTTTCTCGCTTTGTACCTTTCGAGTACCGCATCTGGTAGATTCCAAGCGGATAGCTCATAAGTGGGCAATTGACTTGTTTGGGAATCTTTATTAGAATGTGGGCTACCATTTTCCAGTAGCACAGAGCTTGATTGTTTGTCTTCTAAATTTGGTTGCCCTACATTTTGAGATAGCAGTCTGTCGGGTGATTCCAGTTCTTTAGGAGGCGATAGAGAAAATGAGTCGTTATTGATTGGTTTATTAGCACTTCGATATGAATCCTTGTCTGATTCGTGTGTATTGCCCTGATCATTACTAGTGTTTGATGCTTCAGCTGATTCCTCTAAAGCCTCTAAATACATGTCGTTCTCTTGATAATCCTTGCCATAAAGCACATTTTGACTAGTTTTCTCCTCAACGACGGGATCTTGTTCTTGGAGTGGAGGTTTTTGGCTGGTTTCAATTTGATCGAAGTCAAAAGACACATTATCCAAAAAAGCAGAATCGTCAAAAGAGATTCTGTTCGATGAAAAAACAGCATTTTTATCATCACAGCTGATATTTTGAAAAGTGAAGTTATCCAAAGTATCGTTCATAGAACAATCATGTTCTAACATTGTTTTAAATTTTATGACACAGAACCGGCACAATAACAATAACAAACGTGAAGTATAAAAAAGCTAATTTCAATTCTTCTACAGCGATGCCAACTCTTATCAGGAATAAGGCATAAACGATGGTGGAGTTTTTTGTCATGCCAAATGACACTAATGCACAAAATGATAATGACAAAAAGGGGAATAATTTCAATAACGCCCATCTCTAGATTAAGCATTTCAACCCATAGAGAAAATAAAATAATTATTATTTTACCTACACTGTTTCAACTAATCAATTTTGAATGTCACCATTGTCATCTGACGTCGTTATCAAAGACAAGTACTTGTCTCTGTCGTTATGACATTATATCACGCCAAGGTTAAACTTTTATTGTTCTTTTTATATTTACTTTTTTACATTAAAAAAACTGTAAACACTAGCTAAACGTATTCAATAATTACCGAAGAAAGTGTGAAAGCACTAAAAGAAAATGCCGAATTTACTTTTGAAAGTGAAAACTAAAAATGGACATCAAGTCCTGGATAAACTTACGGAAAAGAACACAATTAAAGACTTAAAAGAATTGTTATCCTCCGTTTCAGATATTCCTGTAAATCGCCTTCAGGTTTTATCCGGATTTCCACCAAAAAGTCTGGACATTAGTAAAGACGACTTACACTTAGGTAATTGCAACATATCTAGGTTAATTTTTCTACCAATACTATAGTTGTGTTACAGATAATAGTGGATTAACAACTGGAGATACTTTAATATTGCAAGAGGCAGCTGCCAACGTGGAGCAAAAGACTGAAGCTAAAGTAGAGCCGAAACAAGTTGAAACTGCATCCAATACAAAGGAGAAATTCATTGCTCCAACTGGCATTTTAATGAAAGAAGTAGTACCTGCTGATAATTCCTGTTTATTCAGTAGTATTCATTTTGTATTGAATGGGAAGGTCGACAATTCGGGAGAATCAGCTATTTACTTGAGACGGCTAGTAGCAGAAACAATTCGCAACGATAAGCAAAGCTTTGATGAGGCTATATTAGGCAAACCCATTGAAGAATACTGTACATGGATACAGCATGAAACATCTTGGGGTGGCGCAATTGAAATTGCCATTTTAAGTAACTTTTATGGCATTGAGATTGCTGTTGTGGACACTGTTAATGCTATTATCAATAGGTTTGGAGAAGACCAAAACTATGCAGTAAGAGTTTTCCTTTTATTTGATGGAATCCACTACGATCCTCTATACTTGGAACCATTTAACGTAAGTAAATATGAATTAACAGATATCCGTTTAACTTAACAACCCAAGACAATAGTCTAATTCTACTCCTTTAAATACAATATTACTGAAGCAGAAATGCACAACTGTATATTCACCACTGTCGGTACATACTTAATGGGAAACAATAATTACAGTTTCTACATGTTGTAATAATGGAATTTAGCGAAACTTACTTTAGCCAATGTTGTTTATTTTCTAATGCTGATATTATCGTTTCTATTTCACGTTAAATTTTGTTACATAATCTCTACAATTTCAAAGTTGGTATAGTGGGCTTTGATGCTGTGAAGTTCGAATCTAAACCTAAGATATCGAATAGAGGACTAGTGATTCGCACTGTCCATTGGTCAAATTTTATCTATACTTTATTATACTAGAAAGCAGGTAGATAAACCGGCTTGCTCCCGAAATATTACCAATTTAATTCCAACTTATTATTACAATTTATATTGCCAACTTACTTAATACTAGTTTAGAATACTAGTGGTGGGAAAAGAGTAACTAATCGTTACTCGAGTACGCGTTCCGAAGTGACGAATACTGCTCTCGAGAAGAGTCAAGTCGCCAATCCTAACTTATACAGGGTGGCGATTTTCTGAATCTTTGTATGGGTAACTTTTATATTTTTAAAGCCGATTGCCTATTCTCTATCGTTTTCGAAATTTAGGTACCCGACTTAGTTCCTGAAATATCCTGAAAAGACAAGATATCAACACTTTTTTAATTATCACATATTTTGTAAACTGCTTAACTTAGAAAAAAGTTAAAATTGCCTTTGGTAAAACTTTTTGCGTTGAATCCAATAAACTAGTACTCGTTGTCATAGTCAACTTGATTTACGAGATAAAAAATAAACTTATGTTTCTTTTAATGCTAATCATGGTTGGCTGTGGGCCTTTTAAAATCCTTATTTTTTCTGAATTTAATGATATAATTGTTTGTACACAATGTCTAACATTGCTAAGTGGCAAGAACACAGACATTTTTTTTTCGCAAAAACTATGAATGCTACAATATTTTACAAAGAGCACAAAATTGTGAACAAATTATTAGTGCATCAACCAAAAAAAAATGAGTTGATTTCATCCACCAAATAAAAAGTTCTGGTAGTTTTTGTACCACGACACTCAAGAATTCACCACTTCTCCCAAACGGCTGCTCGATTGTTTCATCAAAATATGAGTCTTACATAAGAACAAATTCACACCGAGTTTCACCAAAATAAATTGAACCATTCTCCCGATATTTCAAAACAGATAATTTTTTTGAAGAATTTTGACTATAAATAGCAGAGAAGCCAGATATTTTTTGTTAATAAAAATTAGGTCAGATCGTCTTCTTTTGATGCAAACAATATCGCAATATCCTTTTGATCACGTGCTTACGGGACACCCCGTATATATATAACAATATAACATCAGTTTTATAACGTCCGCCGTCTTCTGATGCCCAATCTCCACTCGTTTCTGTTCGCCCATAAATCGTCATCCAGGCTCCTACTTATCATTCGCTGTCTATTCTTTGTCTCTAGCTCTTCCGTGGTCTTCCTCGCTTTCTTCGCCCATTTGGATTCCATTTTAGTATTTGTGTTGGTAGTCTTTTGTTCTCCATTCTCTGCACATGCCCGTACCATACCAGTTGTTTTGTTCTTATCTCGTCCTCTATCGTGCGTTCACCTACTGTTATAATTTCTCTTATTCGCTGATTTGTAACTCTTTCTCTCCTTGATCTTCCTGCTGCTCTTCTCCAATAGTCCATCTCTGTCGTGGACAGCATTTTCTCTGTTCTGTCTTTGATTGGCCAATCGTCTGAAATGTACGTAACAATACTCTTTACGATTGTGTTATATTTGAGCTTTTTCGATATACTCTGGTCCCAGAGTATTCCATTTATTAAAGTTATTGCTTTTCTTCCTTGTACATTTCCGTTTCTTATAGCTCTGTCTAGTGTTCCGTACGCTGTCATTTTTAATCCTAAGTATTTATACTCGTCACAAGACCTAATTCGCTGTCCCGTATTTAACACTAGATCTTGTTTAATTCCACCAATGCACATATACTCTATCTTTTTTATATTGACCTCCAAACTCCACTTTTGTATTCATGTATCAGCTTTCGAGTCATATATTTCGAGTCGTAATATTCCTGGGCCACCACAATTTGATCGAACTTCCGAGCGCAAATACGAGTACGAGTAGTAAACTGGTACTTACTCAGACTAATTACGTCAGAGAACTATTGTAACTGAACGCTGCAGTAAGCAATCACGGTCACGTTGCATTTCTCGTTACATTCTATTACAATAGCTAGCAATCTAATAGACTACAAGTCAAAATATCTTCTTCTTCAATTGCCTTATTTCTTTGGGACGTTGGCTATTAATTTGGTGGATCGATGACAGACCAAACCACTTTCTTACATTTTGCATCTTTACATTTCTTCTTCTTCTACCTCTTCTACCGCACACCTTACCCTGAAGGATAAGTTGCTGAAGGTGATATTTGTTGCGTCTCATCAGATGGCCAAAGTATTCCAGTTTCCGTTTCTTTATCATGAGTGTGATTTCTTGTTGTTTGTCGATTTTTCTGAGTACTTCGTTTGTGACGTGATCCTTCCAGGATATTCGGATAACACGCCGATATACCCACATTTCAAAGGCCGAGATCTGTTTTAGTTGTTCTATCGTGGTCCATGCTTCTGCCCCGTATAGCAAGACTGTGTTTCTTCGGGTAAATATGTTTTTCATTCTAACAAAAGTTGTTCTTGCCTTTCCAATCCTGGATTTGATTTCTATGGTCATGTCTCATTGACTGTGAACAATTGTCCCTAAATATGTATATTTTTCAACTTGTTCTATGGGTGTTTGGTTTAGTGTAAGTCTTCCTATTGGTATTCGTTGTTTACTAATGTACATCCACTTTGTTTTTGAGATATTTAGTTTTAGTTCGAATTCCTCGAATATATCGTTTAAATTCTGTAATAGACTGAAGATCTTTTGAAGACTATTAGCTATGATGGCAGTCTCGTTCGCGTATCTAATATTATTGATGAGTTCTCCATTAATCTTTATTCCCTCTGTGACATCATCAAGCACCTCGTCAAAGATCGCTAAATTGAAAAGTGTATGCGATAATACGCATCCTTGGCGGACTCCTTTTTTGATTTGAGTGTCTTCCGATAATACCCCTGCGATTTTTATCTTTGCAGATTGATCCCAGTATAGACTTGTTATAACTCTGATATCTTCAGATTCTAGACCTATTGTTTTAAGAAGTTCCACAAGTTTTCCGTGCTTTACGTGGTCGGAGGCTTTTGCCATACATCTCGGTTCATGTCTCTGCACCTCTGTACAAGCACCTGCAAGGAGAAAACCACCTCTCTGGTGCCAATGCCTCCTATGAAGCCAAATTGGGTCTCGGCCATCCTTGATTCACATTTTGAATATATACAGTTATGGATGACTTTGGTAAATATTTTTGTTACGATGTTAATAATTAAACTAATCAGTCTATATTGGTCACAAGTTCTTGCTCGTGGGTTCTTGGAGATAGTGGTAAATACTGAGTTGATCCATTCCTGAGGCAATTCACCGTATTCATATATGTTGTTGAACAGCGGTATCAGAATATTCATGAGTTGCGAGTCCGTCTCATTTATTAGTTTAATAATCTCAGCGTGAATGTCGTCTGTGCCTGGTGCTTTATTGTTTTTCATGGATAGAATGGCTTTTCCAATCTCTTCTTTTGTGATAGGGGGAGCTGACATTTCTTCTTTTTTTTCCGGTGAGGTTAGGGAAATGCTCTTTTATGCACTCCCAGAGCTGGTGGTCTGTCGCTCTGGGTTGTGTGGGACTCCAGCTAAGCTGTTAACTCACTAAAACCCTTTCCTCACCGCCGAGGTGGTGTTTGGCCTTGCACCGCGGTCATTTCTGCCCTATTGTGCCCTCGTATTTTACTCCCTCATTA